AAATTTGAATTTTGAGATCAGGCGTCTGTATACGTGGCCATGTGAAGTGCTGGGGAAAAGTGACAAAACTTTCCATTTGGCTTAGCTTGGAAAGGAACTTCTTAATCTCCTAGCATAAGTGAAGCAGTTGTAGGACAGCTTTATACCTCCTACTCAGAGCTTCAAGGGACCTGTCACCTCCAGTTGCCCCTTTATTTCCTGTGTGTAGAGCTGGCAGACAGTAGAGCAGAGCTTGCGCTATCCCAGTTAAAGTAATCAGTAGCTACTGCAACTTCTTTGTACCTGTGGAGCAGTCTGGAGACATAATGGCTCCAATAATCAAATGTCTTCTTTAAAAAGATGTGTCTCAAAATTCTCAGCGCTCTGTCCTGAGAATTTTCTAGTAACATGCTGTTCTTTAAGAATTTCACATCAGATCTCAATATTTGTTATCAAAATGTGTTACAGCATTCTTTAAAATATGTGGTAAAAAGCCACAGAGGAGAAACAATAATTTTTACATTTTTTTAAAAAACACTAGATGATTTGTTTCTAGTAGAAAATTTTCTGTAATATCATACAGGATTCAGCATTTGTAGATTCGGTGCAGGAGAAACACAGGTTTTGTGTTACTTTGGACTAGTGGTGCTCCACCTGTTAAAACAAAACATCCTCAGAAGGCTGTCTACACATGATTTAGTCCATGTGGGTTGAAGGTTGCTTTAAAGAACTGTTGTGCCATGGTTAGTGCAGAAGGACCCGATACTTTCCATTAACAAGCACTATGAGAGTAATAAAACCAACTTAATTTATGTGTTCTTAGCTTGTGATTTTTGTTAGTGTTGTTCCTCTATAGGAAAAGTTTGGGTGTCTTTTTTGCTTACATCATACCTCAAGGTGTTGGGGTGACTCAGGGTTTTTTTCTTGGCCTTCCCATAATTTCATTCTGTGTGTTTAAGTAACTTAATCTGTCTCTGTCTCCTAGTTTGGTTCCTAATGTACAAAACTGGGACAATAGAAATTCATGATGTCATCAAGTTCTTGTGAGGTATCTCACTATGGTGAGATTTTATGATATGGTGAAAAGTGCTGTAGAAATGCCTGCATTTTGTATGTGTCTGCATATATAGCATTTCTCCATCCGTCATCATACTATTTAGTGATAATGTTTTTCTACCCCTACTACTGTGGTAAGTATCATGAAGCTGTCTGGAACTAGACATCATTGCTCTTAGAGCACATTTGTAGTAGATCTCCTACTCGATCCTAATGGTGAAAGGATACCTGCCAAGAGTTGAAATGCGGGCAGGCGTTGCTCTGTGAGCACTGTTTCTCACCCATGTCTTCAGACAAATCACAGTCCTTCTTGAGGCTCTCCTTTAAACACCAACACAGCTTATTTTTTTTATTTGTTTCAATAGAGATTCCAATGTTTTCTGGCAACTATTCTCTGTTTTCAGATTGTAGTTATCAAGGTGATAAAGAGTTGTAAAACCTCCAGTAAATGTCACAAAATATTTATTTTTGCAAAAAGAAACTCTTCTTTCTCTCTGTTTCCTTGTACAGTGAGATTTTTAGCCCCTCTGTCTAGGACTTGTAGTGTATTTATAGCCTTTTAAATGCAAGCACCATTTGGGGGCCTTTTGATATTCTTTTGCCTATACATGTGTAAATAATTGGCTATCGTGTGTAAGTAATTGCACATGCAAATAGGTACCCATCCAATGTTATTTATAATCGAATTCATAATACAAAATGAGAATAATTTTATTTTAAATATGAAAGAATTATTTTAAGTGTGTTCATAGGAAACTTAATCCATATCCATATGTATGTGTTTGCAGAAAATAAATTATGCTTTTCACAACCTAGTGGTGGTTGTTAACTCATAGGAACTGCTGCATTTCTGCATTACAGCTGTATATTTTCTAACAGAAGCAGAACTATCTTATAGTTGCAACTTCAAAATGTAGGTCATTGTGTTGGCGAATGTAGGTCAGAGTGAAGGGGAAGAAGACAGAATGCAAACTCCTCCACATGGATCTTTAAGCTTATCCCTGTTTTGAAGGTAAAGAGGCTTACCTACCTGTTCAAGCACGAGAAGCTTTTCCTTTTACTAAAATTAACACAGGTCTTCTGGCTTCTTGGCTTAGCTGGAAGCACTGTGTGCTTCCACGCTTGAGACCTGTGTTCGTGAAAGACCTCCTGACTCCTGCTTCTTTAGCTGCCAGCCACTTAAATATCATTGCTGAGGTGATACTTCCTTCCCTATGGGGGAAGGGAGCGGGGAGGAGAGTCGTGCGCATCGCTAGCATCTGCCTAAAGAAGAGCATTGTCTTTCCAAAGGTGCTTTACCCTTCTCTCAGCACAGCGCTATCTGATACACCTGCAGCTTCAGCTGGTATCAACATTGTAATGGTAGCAGGGGAAAGAACGGTGACCCCTCATAAAAGATTTAGTGACACCATTCAAAGTGCGCTTTCAATAGTAACCATAGAAAAGTGAGAGATGTTTGACCGAGGGTACTGAAAACTCAGATGGTGAAGGATTTTGCTACAATTGACAACTATTTTTAAAACTCGCTCAGGCTAAAAGTTTGCTATGAAAGGGTTTAGGTTTTTTGTGTTTGTGGGTGTGGGGATTTTTTTGTAATGTGAGATATAAGGATTATAAATGGTATTAAATTAGCTGTGTCTTCACTAAATATTAAAAAAGCACTTTTATTGCTTGAGTATACACCAGTCACTGCAAACTGAAACATTCTTTATATTATACACTAAAATATTTAAACAGTTATTATGTTTATTGCAAAATCTGTCATTTTAGCATATTTCAATGCTCAAAAGCATTGAAGTGCTCAAAAGGGAGATGGAAAACCCTGTACAATTCTTAGTGTATGTTCAACTGAAGAATGGGTAGTCGTGTGTGAATATTTTATTTTAACCCTTAGCAAGTCTAAGCAAAATAGCACATTCGCAAACACCTAATCAGCCTAAACTGTCATAAACAGGACAAATACCAATATTGTTTCAGTGTTTTTGTCATACATATGAATCGTTGCTCTGGGTTTTTTACCTTTAAGATCTTTATCATACAAAAGTTATACTCAAAAGTTTTGGCCAAATCCTCTCTAGGCTTTTGCTTGGTCTGCATGCAGACAACACATTCATAAATTTTCATTATTTATCACTATGAGTAAGGGTAGTTCAGAATACTTACTGGATGGAAAGGAAGAATTATAGATTTGATGGATACAATCAGGCTGTAAGTGATTTAAAAGGAAGACAGTTTTTCTCCCAAACTTCTGCTTCTGTTAAATATATTGTGATGTTTTTAAAGTCTCGAGAATAAAAAATTTAAAAGAATTATCTAAAGGATGCATATGCATAGTAAGCTGCATGGAATTCTGTTTACCTGTCTAGAAACATCTAAAGGAAGCTCCCACATGTCTGTTTTTAAGTTTACTGAAACCGTTGATGTGTCTGTAGTTCATAATATTAAGTTTCTGTCACATTAATTCATAATGCTCTGTGTTGTGGGGGGAGGCTAACCCTGGTTTTTACCCGTGGATAGACATGTAAGCATGTTTTTTCATTGCTAAGCAACAACAGACAGAAAACACAAACCACTGTAATTTGGCCACATATGCCTTTGATTCACCCTCCCTTAACTTTGGGAACCTAACTTAAGTGCCTGCATACAACTCTCTTTTCCCCAGGCTCCCTCCAGCAATGGAGACTGGTGCCTGCAGGAGAGCATGCAAGCCACGCAGGATCTGTGCTGCCCTCTCCGTGGGCCACGGCGCTTCAGTTAGATGTTCAAGTGAGGTGCGAAGGTGGTCTGATGAAACAGCAAGTTTCATGAGTGAATGGTGTTGAAGGGGTAAATTTGCATGGATGCTTCCAAGTGTTCAAAAAAACGGGTAGACGTGGCACTTCGGGACATGATTTAGTCCAGTCTACCCTTGATTGGCTTAGAGTAGACTTGGTAGTGTAGGTTAATGGTTGGACTGGATGATCTTAAAGGTCTTTTCCAACCTAAACAATTCTATGATTCTATGATTCTAAGTACTTGCCAAGGTTGACAATGACCACTGTAAGTTTTATGATGGATGCTTATGAAGTCATAAATAGTACAGATTAGGTGAAAAAAGCCTGATTGTTCCTGTCTATTCCTGTACTAGAACTAGAGGGCCTCAAATGAAAATGAAGGGAGGCGAGTACAAAACAAGACAGAGGAGATGTTTCTTTATGCAGCACAGTAAAACTGTGGCGCTTCCTGCCACAGGGCGTTACAGCTATGGAAAGTTTACCATAGTCCACAGAACAACTAGAAAAATCCTTTGGTGACTATTAAACAGAACTTATCACTTTTATCTTCTCTTCTTCTCAGGAACTTCTTGAGCCACAGCTAGAAATCATGCTGCATTATTGCCCTAGTCCTGTATTTGCCCTTAGCATGTGTTGCTGGTCAGGTCCCCTACAGTCAGACTGATGATGTCTGACCTAAGAAAACCTTAAGAGAAAAGGAGCTAAATAAAAAGAAACTGGGAAGAAATGAAATAACTGTAGAGCACAGCTAATGAAAGAGGAGGGGGCTTCTGTCCACTGTTAGAAACAGGCTGCAAGGCAAGGTGGGGCTCGCATCTGGCGCGGTACAAACAGTTTGATGTTCATATGAATGCCCAAATGTCAGAACTTTCATAGAATTAAATTTTATATAACTTTTAAAGTCTTGACAGTTGTATGTGTATGTATAGATATATGTGTATATTTATGTGTGTGTGTGTGTATCTGTAAATTTCTGATTATTAGTTGGGGTGAAATCTATGAGACACTCAGTTCCAATGCTTAAATCAGAAGTCTTCTATGAAACGTCTTGTTTGTTTCTTTATTCCATGGTATTATGGCAAATTTAGAAAATGAAACAGTTGGTAGAGGTCTGCAAATGGTAATATGTATTCAAATATTATTTTAGACAAAATAATCTGTTCTAAGAAGGCAAATATCTTTGTTTTATAGGTGTCTGGCCATCTGAAGAAGTGCTGGCTTACTACTGCCTAAAGCACAATGAAATATTCAGGTACAGAGTTAAACATAGAAAGATATTTTCCAATCTGTTAGTTTTATTGTATCTGCATGGTAAAGATTGCTATGATTTAAGTCTTCAGATTAAATTTAAAATGTTCAAGGTGAAAGCATGTTGCTCTTAACAAAGAATTCTGAGCTGCCTTTGGGTACTAATATTGCACAGCAAGCTTTCTGCTATATGTCAAAGACTTTTGATTTCCACTCAAGGCGTTTTATTTCACTTTGATTTTTGGGAAACAAAAGTGAAGCTCCAATCGATCAGTACTGGTTGTGAAGGTCAGGAAAAATAAAAGACATTCTTTAAACTGACATCTGTTGCGAAAGCGAGCAAAATATTACCTGATAAAATACATAATAATCACTGCATATAGCAATGGAGGAATTTGCGCCTGTACTTAAGTGTTGTGAAACAATTTTGAGACATCCTGCACTTTTATTTGGTTTTGTTTTTTTCACATTTGCTAAACTCGTAGAAGACAGTTATCAAGGCTCCAACAGGAACACCTAAAAATAAAATCCATTGTGCATCCTCTGTCTTTCCCCTGGAGTATACAGAGCTTTGCACTTGGAAATCCTTGAAGTTTCATTGTCCAGAGGATGAATGGGGTGCAAGAAAAACCATTATAACAATGCATTTGGAGGCATAACTGGTGTTCTGAGTGAGGGTGCAAGGCTAATACCGAGTAAACCAGCTCGGAGTATACAAAATCCCTCACTCTGGGTACATACGGTGTTGGTAAAATAGCGAGGACGGAGCTATAAGTCCCTGCCCCTTGTACCAAAGCTGAAAGCATATCAGCTGTGAGTTGGTTCCTGCAGCTTGCTCAGACTCCTATCTGAAATCAAAGACCTGGCACCAAACCGTGCCCTGGTTCGTAAAGCCTCGTTTCTACTCCGTCTGCCACCTGAATGAAGCCCACCCCATTAGAGGAGGCAGGTAACACGCCTAATCGGGTAGCTGCTGCTCCTTCCTCCGAGTTTAGCTGGGCACTGCACTGTGTGACTGTAGTGGAGTCCCTGTAGCACTTTGCCGTCCAGCCCCATGCCGTGGCTCGTATGCTCTGCTTGTTCTCAGAGGCTCTGCACAGCAAACCTCCCTGTGCCGCTCACTAGAAGGGTATTTTCCTAGTTTGGGTATGCAAGGCTGGATACTCGAGACAGCAATCAGTCAAACTTCCGTGGAGGGGCAGTTTCACGTCCTGATTTCTCAGGATTATGCCCTCTCAACAGTATGCACAGAGTATTTTAATTCTCATTGATAAATGTCACTAAATATTGCCTGAGAGATGGATATGATTTTTTAAATTTGCTAATAAGGGAACTTTGCGCTGAAATAAATTATTTATATGCATAAATATGTATGTGTATGTCTGTGTATGCATATGCCCGTATATTATGTACATACAAATTTGGTTCAAAATGCACTAAAACCCCCACACCAGATACTTTCTGTGTTTATTTCAATAAGCACAACAGATTAAGTGCCTTGTAAATCTTATATATATAACCATGTGTATATACTTTTAATATATATGACATGGTTTAGAAAAATAAAAACTTATGTGAGGAAAAACCTATAATCATTCTGTTTAAACCACAAACTGCAGATTTCCCACATCTGTTTTATATTCTCTTTGGGTTTATGTACAGCTTGTTCCTCCAAACTATGTCCGTCTTTTGCCTCATTTCCATTAAATAGGATAACTTGACTTTTTTCAAATAAAATTTGTGGGGTCTAAGAAAAAATCTATCCCATCCAGACAACAAGCATTACTGTACAGTCGTACAGCCTGGTCCGCTGGCCTCAGTGAATGAAATATCAGCATCTGTATACTGATACTGATATGGCATCGTAGATGCTCTTCCTAAATATCAGCGTCGAATGAATAGGGAGGTAATACTTTTACATAAAAATAGATTTTCAAATGTTGGTATTTTAGGGGAGAAGAAAAGGTGCACAAAAAAAAAAAAAATCTGTTTAGCTGAAATTCCATTTTCTGCCTGTCAAAAATGCCTCAGTGGGAATGTTTCTGCCAGCTGTAACAGTTGCCGCAGATTTAGCTATAAAGCAGCGTGTTCCTAAACCGAGGCTCTGCCTTGCCCTAGACGCTGCTTCACGCAGTTTCGGCGCGGGGTCAGCATCCCTCCCTCCTCCCCTCCTGGGGCAGGCCATGGCTCTGGAGGACATTCTTTATGGCTCCCCCTGCAAGCTCCCATCCGGCACACTCTCTGCGCCAAATTATTTTTCACATGCATGTCTTAATAACAGCACAGTGTGGTCTAAGTTAAAAGCAGGCTTTTAGACCATGTATTCGACCCTCTGCTCGGGCTCAGTTTAGGCTCTTGACACTAACTTCGTTTAGTTTTCTGTGGCTTAACTGTTTGCTGTTCCCATCGTTGTTCATAACAGCATTGTTTGTAGGTCACTTGCAGTTTTAAGTGCTAATTGAAGGATCGGATTTCTTCATGTGTAATTGTTTTGTGGTATATGGCTTGTTTTAAAACTTCTCTCTTTTTAATATAAAAAGGCTTTTAGGCATAACTGTATGGAGAGATATATAAATAATATTAATTTCCCCATTTACTTCTCTAACTGTTTTTGCAAGAATGAATGTGGATTAACATTGTTATCCTTTCCTAACAATTATCTTTCGCTACTCTAGCTAGTTTAGTTCTAAAAGACAGAGCCATTGACAAGGGAAAAAAGGGAACCTTCTCAGATTTTTCAGCTCAGCGGTGGTAATGTTGCACTGAACACTAATGAGGGAACCCCCACTGATTTGCCTGCTTTGTGACTTTTCTATTTCATAATTATTTTTAAAACGCAAAATGACATGAGGTAGCCTAGTCATGTCTCTACAACTTCCTGGTAGCTCAGTTCTTACTGCAGATGGCAATTTGTTCTTGTAACATATATGTCTCTCTGACCATTTTCATCTAATTTGTATGGGTTCTACCATTTCCTTTCTCTCTTTCAGGGACCTTGCTGTGTGTGAGCTAGGGGGTGGCATGACATGCTTGGCTGGGCTCATGGTAGGTCTTTTCTCAATTCCAATCCCATTCAGAGGAAGAAACAAAAGGAAAAATGTTCCAGTGCCTCCAACTGCTGGGTCAGAGAACTGTCAACAGCCTCAGCTGCGGTCAAGCTGCAGAGTCTTGAGAGACCTTCTAGATTGACTTGCTTTCGTATCATATTGATTTTATGGTTGCCTCGATGAGCAGAAACATTTTACCTCCGTGTAGTCAATATCTCTTGTTGTGATATTCCAGGCCACGTACGGTCTGTCTTTCATTGCCATAGCCGAAGGATTTTTTTTTTTCAGATTATAGTCCCATTTGCTAAGATACAGGAATAGCCTGGCGAATCACAGTTGGAGCACCATGATATAGCTGCTAATGTTTTGCCTGCATTATTACACCAACAAACATGATCCAGAGCTCTCGGTAATTAGATTCTTTTGAATTAGATTGGCCATTCAGGAGAGTCGTTCACCATTCTCTGGGTTCTGAGTCATGTATTCAGGAGATATTATGTAGCAGTGCAGTGCATTAGACAAGTTTTTATGTCTCTACAAATAAAAGCATATTGTTACACTGATTGGCATTTGACAAACCTGTCGCTCTTATACAATGTGTCGAGGTTACAGCCCAATGTGCGAGCATGTCAAAGCTCACAAAAAAATTACCCTTACAAAGCCATCTGCCTGCAATGCAAAGTTATATGAAGGGCATCAGGCAGTCAGACAGAAGCAAGCTGAAAGGCAGAGTGACAGCCTTGTATGATGGCTCTACTAGATAAACAGAAGCCCGCAAATGAAAGCCTCTCAGAATACCATCATCCGCTGTCACAATGCAATTACGGAACAGAATGATAGCAAGATAGAGGCTCCCGCAAATGGAATGATAAAAGTATTGACTGATTTGATTGAATGATTAAAATAATGCAGACATAAAATGAAAAAAGATTGAAGATTGTTACAGAGAAATAGGTGAGGAAGCATGATACTGAAGGCTTGTCACTCCTGTCTTCACTTCCACACAGACAAGCATATTTGCTCATTGTTTGCTGTGCTCTTTTTTTCAGGTTGCTATTTCTGCAGATGTCAAAGAAGTTCTGTTAACTGATGGAAATGAAAAGGCCATCAAAAGTATCCTTATTCAGATAGAAAACTGGTTTGTTGTGCTTGTTCCTTTTTACTGGCTGCGTAACAATCGATATAAAGACAGACAGCATGGGGTATATTAAGAAAAAGTCCCCACATAAGTAATTAAAAAATAGATGTAGAATATCTTGAACAGAGCTACAGCTTCCCCCACAATAAATGCCACGTTTTCTTAATTAAAAATGTACGTGTTGGTATAGAGCAAGTATAGTAGTAAATATTTGCCTTATGGTTGAGTGCTGAAAGATTCCTTGTGTGTATGCTGCACATTACAGGAGGTGTAGCAGTGAATCAAATCATTAGCTCCCCTTCACATACTCGTTTTGCAGAAGAACTAGCTTTTTTTTTTTTACTTTCAGATGGTAGCCTCCTAAAACACACCCAGTATTTGTATATTGTCATAGCTTTTCCAGCGTATATTGAAATGCATGGTTTCGTTGTTGCTGCTAAGTTACAACTGCCTACAAATCACCCATTTAGTGTGCTTAATCAGTTATCAATTTATCATTATTTCTCTTGATGTAAGATTGCAAAAATCCTCTGTCCCTTGTAGAAAGTATTTTATTGTATTTCTTATATTAGAATAAATTGCTATTATGCCCTTCTAATATGAACACGTAGTTCAGAAAATTGAACTGGACTTTGGCTAAGCGAGAGAATGAGTGAGCATAATTTGTGGCCACATTAAATATCAGCACAGAACAAGAACAGATATATACAGTGAATACTAATAGCCCTTAGAAATTGAGAGGAGAAAAAGGAAGATATCTATTTGCTTTGTTCCTTCGTAATCTTTCCATTTGCATTTTAAGGCAGACTAGTTTTTCAGGTTTTTGGCCACTGCATCATCAGAATTACTTAGATTTTATGTATTTGAAAGCTAACATAATGAGTACCTAGTGAAAAAAATAAGTTAAAATAATTCATGATTTTAAAAAATTGCAGTTGCTGATGACTGTTAAAACAGAAGACATTGCAGTGCAATAATATTAGCTACTACCTTTAAAAAGACTTTCTCAGAGGTAACTGAGGTAACTATAATTGCTTACAATACTAAAAATTTAATGGAAAAAAACAGCCAACACTAGAGCATATCTTTTAAAACTTGAAGGAAGCCTTATAAAAGTCTTCTTTTCCCAGAAATTGCAAGTTCTCAGTTGTGTTCCAGGGATTCTTATTTTGATAAATTCTAGTTTGTTATACACATCTTGAGGAGGAAGTATTCATTATTCTGTGTATTTTAATCAGCATCACCCCTTCCAATCTTTCTTCTATGCCATTACGAAGATAAAAAATGTGGGAGAAAAAAAGTGTTTCACAACTAGCCTAACAAAACAAACTGGTGTTTTATAGAAGCGTAGGTATTTAACAAAAGGTCATTTTACCCACAGAAAGTTGCAGGTGAGCTCAGTAATCATCAAGTCAGCAAATATCTTGCATAGCATATTCCATAAACATACCTGAACTTTTTTGAAATGTAGAAGTCTTCTATAGCAAGGAAAATTGGTGAGTGCTAAAAGTATTCACTCAGTCTTTGGAATTAAACAAATTAAAGTGGTTTTATTCCTGAAAAAGATACTGTTAATGTCATCTAATTAGCACACCTTAGTTTTTCACAATGTGTTTTAGAAATATATTTTATTTCCCAACGTGTTACAAGAAGTCTTCATCTGTATTCACTCAGTGAATCCCTTTCAGAGAAGCGATTGGTGGAAGGCTCTAACAGGAATTTATTTTTCTTTTTTAACATTTGGTGCTCTGAAGGCTCAGCATTCAAAGTGCTTTTATTGTGTTGGATTTTACAATGGGCTTAATATTAGCAGGGTGCCAAAGTGCAGCAGACTAAGAACTTTACAGTGTAGGTGGAATGTATTCTTAAAAGTGCACATAATAAAATTTATGTTGCATTTTATGTATTTTATGGACTTCAGTAGTAATTTTATGATCTGTCTTATGGTAATTTTCTTTTGCATTCTTTTCTATAGTGACTAGCTATAACAGAAGTTTAGGCTAAATTCAGACCTGTTTCGGCCACACCACAGACTCACTGAAATCAGTAAGAATCTTTAGTGTAACTGGAAATAGTATTTGGCCCCAAGTGCCACAGACTACAAATGATGTATTTCTGCTAATTTTTATTATTGCTGATGGTGTTTTTTAATCGTGTAGCATACCAAATTAAATTAATGTGGGATAAAATACTGTTTTCTTTTCTAGATTCTGCTCTTCAGGAATAGTTAATGCCTAGTATTATGCTTTTTATGTAGGTATTATAGATTAAAATAATCTTGTTTAAAAATTACTGTTTACATCTTCCCTTTAAATTTCTTAGGAAGCTTAAATTACATGCCAGTCATACTATAATATCCAAAAATTACTTTCCAAAAAGTAAAAGTGGTTGTCAACAAAAAAGAAAAAAAATCACTGTCAGAAGCCAGGAAATCACCAAGCAAGCCTGCTAATTATTCTTAATGGGCAAGATGAGCACATTAAGAAACAAATGAATACATCAGTGAAATGTAATTGAAAATCGACCTGGCAATAGTGCATTGCATCTGAGAATCTGCCTTTATATTATCATCATCATCATAATTATTGTTGGTTTTGTTGTTGTTATCGCTATTCAGTGAGCATAACTAACAGCTTTGCTTTGTGAAGTCTCAAGCTTTTGAGGATTTGATTTTTATTTTAATTTTTGACATTCTTCATATTACTCTCCATTTCATACTGCCACATGAAGTATTCACTATGTATGTTTTCAGTATCTATATTAGGATATGTTAATGAAATGTTACAAGTTAAAGCAATTTACAAATAAGTTAATTTCAAATCATTGTAATTTTAACCATTTCACTGTGAAATATATAGCTATATTTTATATTAATCAGTGGTCTTACGCATGAGGTTTATGGAGGTTTTTAAAAAGATACTATGATCTGAGTTACTAGTCCATTTAAAAGACTTCACTCTAACTCCTTTTGCTTATCATTGGCAGATTTTAACTGATTAACAGATCATTTATATTGCTAAATCAATATAATAAAGACAGATGTTATTGCTTTTACAGCTTCATTCAAAACTTTGTTGTTGGTTTAGTGTGTTTTAGCTAAGTTCTTTCAGGATCATTTAAATAAATAAAGAATTAAGAAGAAACATACAGATATTTCAAGTGAATAATAAAGATATACGTAGGCAAAGTTATCAGATTCATCCCCCTTTGTAATTTTGGGTGATATGCATTCAGATACAAATTTTTCAACTTAGTAATATCTATGACATATCAGTCATGAACACCAAATTCTATTTCCCCAGAACACTGAAAGCATCTATACTTGGTTCCACATGTCCAAATCCAAGGATGAGGTTCATTTTTAGTAAAAATTGTCTCCTATTTCAGAGAGGCTTCTGCCTTAGCTCTGTTTCATACCATGCAGTAGTGACTTGAACTACTGTCTGAAAGCATCAATAATACAAAACATTGTTGCAGTGCACTATAATGGCCATTAAAATATAGTGTATGGATCTTTCAACAGTCCTGCGAAATTTAGGTTAGAAAGGTCATGTTCAGCCTGAATGCCTGAAGACATGGGCTTATAAATTATTTTAAAAAGCTACTGTTAACATGTTTACCACATTTATTAATAGTTTCGCTCAGTTATATAATTTAAGTGCAGAGTAGCTAATTTATAACAATGTTACTTCTGCCTCTACTTAAAAACAGCATACTTTGCTCATGGAATTATTTCTGCCTTTCTTTTGCTTCACAGGCATAGACCATTCATTACTATTTCTCATTGCATGTTGTGGAAAAGATTTAAAATGCATGTCCAAACTACAGAGATTTGTTTAAACCAGTTTTCTGTCATTCCATTTCTAGTTTTTGGCTTCACAAAATATAATTTGCCTTTTCTTCCTTATTGTTTGAATAGAGGCTTTCCTAAAATAACTTTTCTTAAGTAGTCAACTGTGTTGGAAGGACAATTATGTGATTTCAGCAAATAAAAAGATACATTGGTGATATTTTAAATTAGCCTGACACTGTGTTCAATTTTCTTATATGAGCACTTGTAAAGAAGAATTCAACATATTTTGTGCTCCTAGAAACATCCTCCTAATTAGCATCAGGTTTCCTGTACCTTAAATAAGATTGTTCGTTGACATCTTTATCAAAATTGCCCCTTTAAGATAATCTTTAAATTTGAGAGTGAATCGTTCAAATATGTATGGATTCACACTGGGTGCCATTTAGTATTCTCATAGTTCCTTGGTTACTTGCTACACCTTTTCTTTCCTATGGCTTCTCACTAACCACAAATGATTATTATGAAGGTTATCTTTCTAGGTATAGATGACTGAGCACAGCTTCCCTCGAAACTTTTCATTGACAGACTTTGCTTTGGCCTGCCTGAATGGCTACCCAATTTTGTGACCTCATCTTCCAAACTGAAAGAAGCTGACACATGAAGCTGAGGCACTGTTGCAGTGCCTATGGGGAAGAAAAGGCATTTATTGCTTTGTACTATCATTTATGGTGGTTCCAAACCATTCTCAAGAAAATATATGGACTAGAAACTCCCTTGCCTATAGGTTAAGGTGCTCCTGTTGTGCCTCAGTTCTCACCCAGACAGAGACAGGAACAAAGTTACGTGTCTTATGGCAGGGCAGAAACTCAAAACCCATAAGCCTCCAAAACCTCAGCACTGTGATCTAGTGATCCAGTCAATAGAGGCAGGCAACAAGAGCAAGTTGCTGCAGAGATTTATGGCTGATGTGCTGGAGTAGCAATGTAAAATTTATGCTTCTGAGAAGACTGACTGTTAGCACAGATTAAAGATGACCAAAGAGATAAAAGACATTATGGAGGTATTAACAATGGGAAAAAGTATTTTTTTATTGTTCTTATTACCGCTCTAGTTTTATAGATAATTCTTAACAAATATGCTACAGATGTGAGTGAGATCATCACAAGAAACCAAAGTGCAGGAGTATTTAAGGCTCAGAAAGTGTCAAGCCGGTAAGATTCTGCTAAACTCGTTTACTGATTCTTACATGTAATTGTATATTTAATGTAAATGTGAAATGTATGCAAAAGTGTGAAAGTGTGACCTTAATTAACTGATGCTGACACAGTTGTATATACAAGAGAAGTAGGTAAGTGATGCAAGACAGGCATTTGGAAGTATTAAAAAAAAAATTAATCGCTTTTTAACATAGCAAATACAGGATGATTAATCTTGGTGACATAACCTCTCTTTCCTTTTTCTTTTTTTTAACATACAGTATGTTTCTTCATGCTGTGGTTTAGTGCACAGTTGAAATTTGGCTGCTTCAGGGTCAACATTACCCACTGTACTGAATACGTGGCTTGGAATGAATGTACCTAAGTCACTGGCAGATTTCATTTTAAATAGCTCTGAATTCAGGGTGGCAACAAATCCCATTTGCCCCCGAGGTAGATGTTGTCAGAGCATCCATGGGAGGTTTTTTGGTCATCCTGTCTGTGCAATCAGTATTGGGTCGTTGCTGCAAGGACAGATGGGGAGCATGGGAGCCACGCACAGCGTGCTGGGGCCCTTCTCTCATTGACTATGCCCTAAGGTGCAGGGCGCACCCAGAATTTTTCTCACAGTGCACCAGCTCTGTTGTCTCTGAGTTAGCCCTGAAGGCATGCTCTGGAGGGTGAGTGTTATAGAGGTTCAGAGAATTTGGTTTCAGATCGTCTCCAGAGCCTTTCCCGACCCACCCTGTAAAAGGTGGTGCCACTGAGGTTAGCTGTTTAACTATCTGTTTCACTGAAGCATCTCCAAGTACAGTAGGGACTGGAAGCAGTTGAAAATGTAAAGTGTGTTCATCTCTTGTAGTATTTTAAAAGTAAATTGTAAAGTACTTAATAGTTGTGGTATAGGGTTAAGAATTAGAATGTGCTTAGAGATGGCTACCTAAGAGCAAGTAGTGGACTCTTATTTGTGTGTCTAAATCTTCCTTTTTTTTGATGATGCTCATTCCAGAAGGGCTCTCAGTCCTCAAAGTGACAAAAGTAAAGCTGAAAAAGGGCTGAGAAAGGCAAGCTGTTACAGCAGAATAAGCTTATTAACATAGAGGGTTAAACCCATACAATTTTAATGGCTATCATTCACATCATTTATCCCTATGCTTATGTAGCCATTCTGTGTAGAGAAGTTCTTTTAAGTGAGCACTTAGGGTTAGAAAAATTCTGCCTTCATTAGGGTGTACACGCATATAACTTAGAGATATATCTCTGCATCCTAATAAGTGCCTGCCAAGTAGACAAAGGCCACGCGGGCCCCAGGAGTGGTCTTTCAGGTTCCATGTGCTGAACACTTCTTGTGAGCAGCCTCAGACACTCATCCCTGCTGAGGAGAGGCTGTGTGGTACGTCCGTCCAGAAGCTTAGATTTTGTAGACTGCCAATTGCCATCTACTTTGTATGAGATTTCAGATTTCATCCCTTGTCAAGACTTCAAACCTGGTCTTTTAGATATCAATCAAAAGCACATTTTCTACCCTGTCCTCATTTACATTTATCTAATGCTTAAGGTCATTTGTGATCATTTGAGTGTATTTCAGCATATGGAATCAGTGAATAATAGATTTCAGACTCACGCTGTGAAGAAAGATTGTGTTTTTACAAGACATGATGTTGTTTACTGGGTGTTAATAATCACTAATTAATAAACATATCTAGACGTCATAAAATGTTGCATTTTAAGGAGTAAAAATGTCAAGTGTTTAACTTGAGTGCAATAGCATTTGGGGCCTTATTTGCATAAACAAAATAATTAAATTATAAAATAAAGTGAAGTACTGTATCAAAACATAAGGCTTGTTACAATAAACACATAATTTGATTTTTGGTTCTACATTCTTAAGGCTTTTGCAGATTTGTTGTAACAGTGTAAAGTCTTATAAAATAAGTATTCAAATGACTCTCTAATCCCAAAAATAATGATCATCTTGCATTTCTCTATCTTATACACATTAATAGTTAATTTCTCCTGTCAGAATTAAACTTATGCTTTGGTTAGTTATTTGAGAGGTGCTAATGGATGGATCAGTCCTGTAGATTCAGTAATGACGTGATAAAGGCAGTAACAAAGTTGTTTGATCATTTCTCACAGCCTTGAAGAAACTAAAAGGCTGGTATAAAATCTGAAATATTGCTGTAAGCCTGATTCACTTTTCCTACAACCGAAAACCTTAGTTATATAATGATAACGGCGGGGAGGAAACCCACAAGAAAATGTAGTGTTTTGCAGGGAAGAATGCAACACTGGCATACAAAGTGACATTAGGTGACTTCTTCTACGCTGATCAGAGCTTGCAGGCAAATGAATACACCGTGATGTATTTAAGTGACTTACTGCTACATTAATTTAATCTGGAGAAGGCATGTTCCTCACTCTAACATATCATTTAAATAGTGTCCAGTCTTGCAACTTCGCACAGTGTCGAGTGCAAAGTTACAAGATTCTTTCCATATAAATGATAATTCAGAATAGGCCCTTCTCACTGCACCTTCATCTCACATTGGGATCTTGTACTCTTTTCCTTGCACACGGAGCAGAAATTATCAGTATGAAAGTCAGTTTGTTCCAGTCATTTAAGTCTAGACTTGGAAAATGTGCCAAAAAATGTATGGCACAAAAAGGAATATGCCAAAAAATGGATGGCACAAAAAGGAATAATCCAGTATCAACCAAGAGAAGTTAGATTAGGACAACCTGCCATACGTCTATTTATTTAGATTTATACAAAATGCAATAAATGAGCACTTATCTAGCTCTGCCAACTCTTGATTATTGTTTAAAAGTACAGTAATGTAAGCCAAACTGGCAGTTTGTCATATTATGTGTTATAATGTAATAATAGATATTTAGTAAACAGTGTACTTCAGCAGTGGATATACAATTCTATTTTATTTTTAGCTTTCATGAGTATGTTCAGAATTTCTTGCTTACGCTTGCTGGAAATAGGTACAGTAATGCCACCAAATTACTAATAATTACTTGCCATAGTAAGGTGAATTATTAATACCGTGTATGAGTTTGATGATTTTCTTTTTTTCACAATTCAAAAATTATCCATGAATCAGGTTGTTTACCCCATAACTTAGTATATGAGTTATCCTGATAGCAGTGTTTGTAGCATCAACTGTTATTAGTTTGACATGCATTATATGCCTTTGATTTGATTAGAATAAGGTATCCTATACTCTTTGTTCATTCTATAGTCAACATTAGAACCTACATCAAGAATGTATGACCATGTGACCAAACGTGACAATTCCTTCTCCTTAAAGGTTAACAGATAGGTTATAATGTTATCTGAGATTCTACTGTTCCTTACAAATATAATGAATTTACAAGCTTCCAGAACAAAACCTAAAGAAAAAAAGTCTTTCTAAAGACTAAATGGCATGCAGTATAATAGTGGATGAGGTCTCAGTGACTGAGCACTGAATTATATCATCATTATTCCATTCTTTTATTAATTACCTCTTTCTCTGTAACTGCCAACATGTGAATATTTTACCTTACTGCAATGTTCTTCTAATATGCCAACTTTCTAACCCTACTGATTTCAACTGGTCATGTAACAGGTTCCATCAATGTAGGACATCTTAATGAAGATCTCTCTCCTTTCATTCATCAAAATTACCTGAGTGTTGCTAAATTCAAACTTTTTGAAAACATATTTATTGAACTTGTGTTTGTCAGCTTAGCAATCCTAAAGGAATCCCTTTCTTCCATCTACTTTTCCAGTCTCCTCATGTAACACTCCTGCATGACAGCATCTATTGGCAAGGAGGAAGCTGCCAAAAGGAACATTTCCTGCTTTTTGGCTAGAAAGAAAAGGCTCCTCGTTCAGGAACCTTCATTTGATTGCGTTACATATGTGTTAAAAGAAACAATGAATGCTCTGTCTGTTCATGCCCATTGTGAATTTGTAGTTCTCTATCACAGAAAACTCAACTCAGGTGGAAACCATTCCATACCTCTGATCGTGTTTGCTCTGCTCTATATCTTTTCTAGTTTCAGTCTACTGAGTTTCAGATGAGGGTGATCAGTACTGCATTCAAAGTGTGCATAAATGATAGATATATGTAGTGGAATAGTTATGCTTTCTGTTCCTCTTCTAAAAATGCCTAACAGTGATTTGCTTTTTTGACTGCAGTTCAGCACTGAGCTAATATTTTCATGACGCTGTCACAATATCAGGAGCTTTCCAGTGGTGGTCAGTTTGGAGACCTTCATTTTCTTTATCAAGCCAAAATTATTTTTCCTGTTGTGCACTTTGCATTTATCCACACTGAATTTCATCTGTCGTTTTATTGTCCAATTACTCAGTCTCATCCTTCTGCAATTCTTCACAGTCTGCTCTTTTCCTTACTATCTTGAATAACTTCTTAATATCAGTAAACTTTGCCACCTCAGTGCTTATCTCTTGTAAACATGTTGAATAGAAGAGGTCCCAGAGGAACTCCACTGATTATCTCCCTCCATTGTGAGAACTGACCATTTACTATTACCCAGTTCCCTGTCTTTTGTTCTATTATTTAGCCATGCCAGGACTCTTGTTTAGTGGCTGTCTACGTTCTTTAAATGTTGTTGGTGAGGGTCTTGCCAACAGCCTTTTGGAATCAGGAGCAGCCTGTGTTATCCGGATCACCCTTATCTGAATACTTGTTGACACCTTTGAAGAGCTCAAATACAGCAGGACTTCCTTTTACAGAAGGTATATCAAAAAAGGCTTCTGTGGTGAAATTGTCTTCAGTTTCTTCTACAGTGAACACTGATGCAAAGAATTAATTTCACCTCTCTGAAATGTTGTTATCCTCTGTGAGTGCTCATTCTATACCCTGATTATCAGCTGGCTGGAAGATGCAGAACAGAAGAAAGAGCACACTCATTTCTGGCCTGCCTAATTTTATTATTATATTTAATTTTCCAAATCTGTGATCCTTTCTTCATTTGGGTGCGACTTCAACTTTCAG